GCTCTTTAGCTGCTATGCAGCCAGAATCAAATCTTCAGCATCACAAGGCAAGAGGGAAGTCCTTCAAGTCTTGCCTACAGGACACACCAAAAAAGTCCCCAAGCCCAGGTGCTGCTCTCAATCCCACCTATGAAACATCCACATCTTCCACAGCTCAGCACAGCAGAAAGCCAAATCTCCTGGCTGACAGATCCAGAGCTTCACAAAAGCTCTGCCCTTTCCTCCAGCACAGGGTGAAGCCCAAGCTCGGATGCTGACCCAGCAGGAGCTGGAGTCTGGCCAGGGGGTAGTTCTAGAAGTGGTGCTGACAACCCACCAGGATGCCTGCTTCTCCTGAAGGGTCTCCTGCCTCCAGAGAGCACCTGAAAAAACACAGGAGTTTTCTAAGCAGCAAATAAACCCTCTGGTTGCAGACAGGCTGTGCACTCTCATCACTCAGCAAATTAACAGACTGCTGATGCAATCAATCCCTTGTCCTCTCTCCAGGACAAGTGTCTCATCACCTCCAGGCACGAGTTCTCCAAGGGAGTCAATCATGACCACACAGTTCTGCACTTGCTGGTACAGAATGTGCTTGTGAGCTGCTGGAGTCTGGGCTGAACAAGCAGCCACCCAGCTAGACTGATGGCCAGCCCCAGAGGGTGGGATCAGTGGCACAAAGCCTGGTTGGAGGCCAGTAACTGGTGGTGTACCCCAGGGGCTGTACTGGATCCAGTCCTCTTGAACACCTCCATGAATGACCTGGATGACGGGGCAGAGTGTCTGCAGATGTCTGCAAGAGGAGATGACACCAAGCTGGGAGCAGTGGCTGATACTCCAGAGGGTCATGCTGCCACCCAGAGGGACCTCAAGAAGCTGGAGAAATAGGCTGGCAGGAACCTCAGGAAGGCCAACGAGAGGTGCCAAGTCCTCCTGGGGAGGAACAGCTCCAAGCACTAACGTGGGATTTTATTTTATTTTATTTAATTTAATTTAACTTAACATGGGGTGAATCTGAGCCTTGCTCGTGGCCTCTTGCATCAAGTGTTGTAAGGCCAGAAAATGCTCCCTCATTGAGACTTCTGCTTGTGGACCAAGAAAGATTTAAGAGGCTTAAGAACCTCTTTGAAGCCTTTCATATTTTTCCTTCTACCTTTAGGCAAAGTGCGTGGGGTTACAATGCACATTTTCTCCTGGAGAGACACACTCAACAAACCTACCACAGGAGCACCTCAAAAGGCAAGTGCTCACACAGACTGCAGCATATAATTTAAGCTCCTTCTCCTCAGTTGATTTGCTTCAGAATCCCAAGTTCAAGGCTAAGAGCACTTACCACTGTCTGTTGTTAAAATAAAAAGAAACTCCACAAGGAATGTGGGGTTTGGTTGCAAGTATAAGGCAACAAGTCTCACCTTTCATGTAATATTGGCAGAACAATATTAGATTTTATAGAAATATAGAATCACAGAATGCTTGGGGTTGGAAGAGACCTTTCAAGGTCATCTAGTCCAAGCCCCCTGCAGGGAGCAGGGACATCTTCAACCAGAGCAGGTTGCTCAGAGCCCTGTCCAACCTGGCTTAAAATATAAAAAGTACTTCTAATCCATTTTGGAGACCAACTAAGGCTTTAAAAATGTCATCCTAAGTTTACACTTGAAAAGGAAATTTCACACATACTTGCTGACAGGAGAAGGGTGATGACATTCAAGCAACATGACTCCATTTTGCATGCTAAAAGGGAACCTGTATTGTATGCCATGGACCATTCTGGTTTTGATTGCTCTGTCTGGCATTTGTGCTCCATCAGGGTCTTTGTCCTGACTCACTCTGATTTATTCTCAGCTTGTGTCCTTACTTCTTGAAATTCATGTTAAGATTATTTCTTTCTCTATCTCTTTTCTCTGCATTAAGATGTCTCATCAAACTCCTAAATTTCTGAGCTACAGTTGTGCTAGGGGACATTTGCAGGCTTTGGAACACAATGATCTATACTGATCCTGACAGTTTTAGCTAAATCCAACTAACAGTCTCTCAAAAACCTTGGGTGCAGCCTGGGTAAATCATGAACATATCCCTGTAGAGGGCAGGATCAGAGGTTTCTCTCTTCAAGAGCAGAGAAGGCTCCAGGGAGACCTTATTGCAGCCTTCCAGAATCTGAAGGGGGCCTGCAGGAAAGCTGGGGAGGGACTTTCAGGGCTTGTAATGATAGGATGAGGGGGAATGGGTTCTACCTGGAAGAGAGGAGATTGAGATTAGATGTGAGGAAGAAGTTCTTCACCATGAGGGTGGTGAGACACTGCCCACAGGTTGCCCAGGGAAAGGTGTGGATGCTCCATCACTGGAGGTGGGCAAGGCCAGGTTGGATGGGGCTTTGGGCAACCTGGACTAGTGGGAGGTGAAGCAGCTGCTACCACTCAGGGATGGAACGCTGGGGTTGTCACAACAGCAGGAGCATCAAGTCACAAGGTCCCTACTGCTAAACCAGCAGGCAGGGTTAGGAATTGGGAAGAGAACAGGGCAGCAAATGGTTATGTCACCACACAAATCCCTGGCCTTAAGGCTCCAGGGTTGACAAGGCACTAGGGACACCTCGTTCAGCTCCGCCCTGACACGTCCCACACGTCCCGGTGTCAGCTTCAGGACACTGCCCAATCTCTCTTAAGTAGGCATCTAATTAGATTCCCAGAAGTAATGAACACTTCATACTTAGCCTGAGAGGAGATCCAGTTACTCAGCACATTAGAGAATGAAAGTCTTTAGATGGGTGCTTAAAACACGGAATTAAAGCTCATCTTTAGGAAAACAGGCCTGAAAAACACCAAATGATGAAGCATTGCTTCATCTGAAGGGGAAGAACCAATATCATACTGCCAAAAGAGCAAAGGTATCTCAACAGGCCACCCTCCTCTTCATTCCCTGTACATTCATAACCTTTGAAGCCACCACACAAACAGAGAAACAAAAATATGACTGCCTCAGAGCACAGGCACAAGTACAACCTCACAGAAAAAAGGTGGGTGCAGAATTTTGGGTATGCCAAGACAAACAAGGAAAACTTTGTAGCTGCAAGGAAGAACTCCCAGTCTGAGCCTCTTGAGATGGTGCTGAAGGGAAAGAACACCCCAGGATGTGGAAGCAGGAAGAGCTGGAGGTGTTGAGTAAGGACCTTGGTCAATATGTCTGGTCATCTTCAGGTTTCTACCTGAAGTTTTTCCCCATGTTCAGATGGAACCTCCTGGGTTCCAGTTTGTGCCCATTGCCCCTTGACCTGTCGCTGGGCACCAAGGACAAGTCTGGTCCTGTGCTCTTGGCCTCCACCCTTTAGCTCTTGCTCAGCATTGACCAGACCCCCTCTGTCTTCTCCGCTCCAGGCTGAGCAGCCCCAGGGCTCTCAGCCTTTCCTCACAGAGATGCTCCAGACCCTCAGCAGCTCTGCAGCCCCTGCTGGACCCTCTCCAGCAGTTCCCTGAAGCACATTGCTTCAAGTCCTCTCTGATGCTAAGTTCAGACCACCCCTCCTCTGTTACCAGCACTTCACTTTCTACAGCCTGTACCTGAGCCTTATTAGCAAACCCATGCTAATTCACATGGGGCTCATTCCTTTGACTACACACCAGCAAAGGCCTCGACGTGTTGCTCAAGGTCAAACAGGAAGCCAAGAGCAGAGCCAAGAACAGAATCTGGATTCTGTTATTGCCCCAGGCCCTGTGGTTTCGGTGTTAGTCAGGCTGGATTTTCACCTCTGCTGCAGGCAGGATTTCCAGGTTGGATTCCAGGGCCCAGCAGCAGCAGAGGGGGTGGAGCAGTGAAGGACCCTGGGGCCAGGCCTCGTGCCACAGGAGGAGACAGTAAGGAAGCCACCACACAGCAGGTAAAATACAAGGTTTTTTTTTTCAAAAATCATTTTCTGTTTTACAAGCAAGTGTTTGTACAGAGGCTGGAGGAACACAAGCAGGCAAAATAAGCAAAACACAAGACCAAGGGTTTGTCATATAGATCTGCAGCCAACACTTAATGAAAGGGCAACAACTGGAGATATTCACAGCGTGGAGCAACTACAGGTCTGTACCCCCCCAATGTGTGTGTGTAACAGGAAGAAGAGATCCAGCATCAGCTTTCCAACAGCCAAAATGCCCTCAGAGCTCCCTGCCATTTTCCTATCTGCACCATTCCAGGTGCAGTGGAGCAGAGACAATGCCATGGCTGCACAGCCACCTCCTGCCAACTCTGTGTCACATGCTGTTCCCAAACAAAAAGCAAACAAAAGAGCAGGAGAGGAGTGCTACATATTATTTTACATCAGATAAAAGAGTTGTAGTGTTTGGTAGTTTAGTCTGTCAGCTCTTCAGATTTTCATATGACAATCCTGTTGCCTCCTACTTTGAAAATTTCCACTGGCACTGCTCCCCCAAATCCCAACCCTGATGTTATTTGACCTCAAAGACAGAAATATATACAGAGAGAAAGCAAATGCCAGGTTTGAGTCAATCAAACAAGAAGTTAGCTACCTACGTGTGACGTCAGTGAGAATCTGGCAGTTGGCCAGACACAAAAATGAGCTTCCCTCAGTTCTGCCTCCAGTGTGTTACTCACAACCTGCTATCAGCTCGCCCTGGGTGTCTCCAGCAGGCTGCCAGACAGCACAGAGCTCCTGCAAACAGTCCACTCACTCCCATTCCGATGGCTCAGCACTTCAAATCCCTTCCTCCTTCCATTTCCCTGGGTTAAATGTGCATTTCCTTTGGATTTGGGAGGAAAGACAGACTCATCCCTTGTTATTTTAGTCTCCATTCTGGCATGGGAAGTATTGTCCTGGAGTCAGGAGAGAACAGACTGGCTGCCAGCAGTCCAGCGACCCCAAATCACCGTGGTGTACAGGGATGGAGGACTTATGAGAGCAAGGCTGCAACTCTGAGAGGTGCCCTCAGGGCAGAGAAGGATGACAGCACACAGTCCTTTTCCAAAGCTTCCCACTTACTGTGGCTGCAGCACAGGGACTCCACGATGAAGCACCAGAACAAGGAAAGCAGGAATACAGACAAAGCATCTCCTCAGCAGTGGGTTTTCAAAAGAACAGTCAAAAAAAAACCCAGGATCCCCAGAGCAACAAGCAGAATTGTGCAATTCAAAACCACACAGACGTGACTCTTACTTTCAAAGGGCTTTATATTACAAAAAAAAAAGTAAGTCACAACGAATGTGAAAAATCCATTCAATGAGGCCTGTTTCCAGTTTGCTAGGAAAGCTGCTTCCCTCTCCTCCACTCCCAGCCCACCCCTGAAAACGTGATTGCCAAAACAGTGACACCTCGAGCCAGATTTTTAAAATCAAACTTGCTCTGCCAGATCCAGTACTCTGAACTTGTCCAGGTTGTAGAAACAAGCCTTCACGACTCTGCCTCCAAAGTATCTTCCATTCAGATCCACCACGGCTGGAAATGAAACCAAGAGCAGGTCAGCCAGCAGCAGTTCAATAAAATAAATGTTTCTTCAGCTAAACTGATTAAACACTGAGAGTGTTTAATCTCTCTACAGAAATTAACTCTGAGGGTCACAGGACACAATTTAATGTCCTACCTTTGATGGCAGATTCAACCCGTTCAAACTCTAAAAATATTCTTACAGCTTCATCATCAGGGGCACCAGGAATCTGAAACAAAACAAACCCCCAAATGGGAAGTAATTACAACTCAGGAATGACAAGAATTGAAATCATTAAAGAATTAGAAAAAAAATATACTGTTTTCAACTGTTCTTCACAGAAGTAGTGAGAAGAACACAGTAAAAAGGTTCCAAAAGGACAACACTCAGAGATTTTTGCACAGTTTCTGAGTTTAAAAGTTTGTATCTTAAAGATATGGAAAATTCAGAGTAACAACATGGCAAAAGACCCTTGTGAGACCTTCTCTTAGGCAGTAATAAGCCAGCAGTGAGGGATCAGTGCCCAGCTTGCTTTTGGAGCTGCCAAAAGGGGAGACCAATTCTCTCTTACCTCAAAGATGACACATTTCCCAACCTTGCCATATTTCTCACACTCCTCTTTAGTTTCGACTTCTAGATCTTCATCCACCTCCCCAGCACCTACCATGTTCTGAAAGTCAAGAAAACCAACCAAACTCACTGGGTGTAGTCCATACTGATGGTTATGGAGACAAATCATGGACACATGCAACTGTGACCATCAATGCTTTAGGCATTCTGTTAACCTGTCAAGAGCCCCAGGAGGAGAGAGTTTCCTCATCCTGAGACAAGGTAACTATAATCTACAGACCTAAAGCGGTTTGTCACTTCACAGCCACAAGTCGTGCCTCAGGAACACACATTTTCTCCACAGCACAAAGCCCCAGGTAGGTACAGGACCAGCCACGTGGGCTGCAGACACCAAGACACCTTCTCTTACTCCCAACTTACCCTTAGCAAGACCACTTTAGTTGGGCATTTCAGGATCTCAGTCAAGGGGTTGGAATCTGCCTTCTTGCCCGTTTCTGTTGTGAAGAGAGAACAGTGAATGATGGAATAATTTAAGATTAAAGCTCATTCAAGCCTAATATGGGGGCTTTTAGCAGAATTTTACTGTTATCAAACAATAGAATAAAAGCCACAAAAAATACTTTCTTATGGGTGAGGAATTCAGAACTTGTAGCTATTTGGAAGGACAATAAGTAGTAAAATCTCTGCTACAGATGTGAGTTAAGCTGGAACACTGACAAGATTCAGTTTTGGGTTTTTTTTTTTTTGAGGGAAATAATTTTTAAGTTCAGAATTGTATCAGATCCCCTAAGAACTAAAAATCAGATCTCCTGGATCCCAACACTTGTGCTCATCTTAACGTGATAGGGAGGAAGCCAGCAGGAACAGAGCAGATCAGCCCTTGAAGAGATGCCTCCAAACACTGAGGGAGGACAACTGATGGGAGAAGGGGAGGATGAGCTAAAATAACTATCAAAGGACCACTTTAGAAAAAGATTTAAAAGATGTGTTTCCACTACCCTAAAACAGTGTGGGTTGGGAGGGACCTTTAAGGTTCCTTTAAGGTTCATCTACTTACAACTTCCAGTTACAAATTAGTTATTCTTCCAAATCTAATTAGTATATTCTGCAAGGACAGGTGGCAATCAAAAAAACCCAGGAGCTTCTATTGAGCCTGAACTATTATTTTTCCCTGACCATTTTCCACAAACCTACTGGGGTAGGACAAAATTACCTTTCTCTGTAGATTCTCCAACAATGATCTTGCCACCCCTCTTGCTGGTTTTCTCTACTGACAGTGCTGTGCTCAGCCCCTGTTCGTGCTTGCCCAGCCCCTGGCCCTCTCTGAAGCCATATTTCTGCATGATTTTATGAGCTACTGTCCCTCTGCAAAGAGAAAAAGCATCAGTTAGTGAAGGTCTCTTACAGAAAACATTAACATTCTCAAACCCAGCCCAACTCCCATGACCAGTGCAAGGCAGTGTCACACAAGCTACAAAATGGTTTGGGTTGGAGATGACCTTTAAATGGCAGCAGCTCAAGGCCCTCTGCCATGGGCAGGGACACCTTCCATTAATCAGGTGACTATTTTCTAAACATGCTATATGAGACACCTCTAAAAAAGGCCAAAAAGTCTGGCTATGTAATGTTGAAAGGTTAAAACACTAAGTCACAGAATAAAAAGTAGTCAATTGTGTGGTCAAAGTAAGGCAGGGCCTATTTTTGGCATTTCCTTCAGTGATTGGAAGGTCCCAGGGTGCTAACTAGAACTGGTAACACTGCAGAAACTGGTCCAACAGTACACTTTGGTTTTACTTTTTCTGGACAATGTGAGAAAGAAATGTTTATATCCAAAAAAAATGCATCAAAAATTGCCTCCTTTATGGGACTGGTAAAAAGGCCACAGTTACTCACTGCACCTTCCACATGAGCTCTCTAAGCCCTTTTTAACTACACACCCAACTCCACTTTGCTGCCACAGTACTAACAGGAGCTTTACACACAGTGCTCATCCAAGGTGGAAAAGCAAAGGGACAGCTCTGCAGCCCCAGCTGCCACACTGGTGTAAACATGCCTGGGATTTCTGAACAAACACACAGAACAGAGCTGAAATGAGCTGCCTGCTGCTCTGCAGCAAATTGAAGGCAAAGCTGGAAAAGAAACCTAGAGGAGCTAACATGCCATCTGTGTTTTTCTGTATGCTGCATGAGCTTGGCTTGTACCAGCCATAAGCACTTTAAATGCTGGAATGTGGCTTCAGAACTTGCTTTAAAGCACAGCCTTGAATGCAACCACCTCAAAGGCCTCTCTCTCCACGGAGTGAATCCACTGCTTCCTCTCTAACCTGCCACTTAGGACTAAATGCACTCAGACCAACCACACAGACACTGCTGCTCTACTGACAAACTATTTTAACTTTTGGTTTCCACCACCTTCTAATGCCTTTTTCCACAAAATGGGCCCAAGTCAATCATTTACCCCATGTTGGCAAGGAAGGAGTTGCTAGGTCCTGTGGGGGAACGAGGTCTTTCTGGCTCATCGTAGGCTGGAGGAGGAATAGCTGCTTTGGAAGATGGTGCCCGAGGTCTTGACTCCTCTTCATATGGAAATGAGGCAACAGCTGAAGAAAAAGGAGATGTTTGCTTTAACAATGAAATACTTGGCAGGAACTACCTGCTGGTTATGTACACCAGAGTACTGTGCCTCCAATCTAACTCATTTACAGACAGCTCTTCATCTGCAAGTTGTGCTTTTTTATGCTTTAATATTAAAAACCATTACAAAAAAGGCTTCCACATAAAACTGAATGAGAACAATGTCTCCTTTGGGCAAGAATCAGAGCAGTTTGAGTTGGAAAGGACCTTTCAAAGTTATCTAGTCCAACCCCCCTGCAGGGAGCAGGGACAGCCCCAACTAGAGCAGGTTGCTCAGAGCCCCATCCAACCTCACCTGGAATGGTTCCAGGGATGGGGCAGTGACCACCTCTCTGGGCAGCCTGGGCCAGGGGCTCACCACCCTCAGGGTCAAAAATTTCTTCCTTATACCTAGTCTGAATCTCCCCTCTTCTAGTTTAAACCATCACTCCTTGTCCTGTCATAACAGGCTTTGTTCAAAAGTCTGTCCCCATCTATCCTATAGACTCCCTACATCTGAGGAGACCCCCAGCAGGTCTCCCCAGCTGGAGCCTTCTCCTCTCAGCTGCCCCAGCCCAACTCTCTCCTGCTGGGCTCCCAGCAGAGGGGTTCCCCCCTCGGGGCATTGCTGGGGCTCCTCTGGCCCCGCTCCAGCAGGTCCCTGGCTCTGCTGTGCTGAGGACTCCAGAGCTGCCCCAGCACTGCAGGGGGGTCTCCCAGAGCTGGCAGAGGGGCAGGATCCCCTCCCTGCCCTGCTGCCCAGGCTGCTGGGGGGGCAGCCCAGGCTGCCAGGCTGGACGTGCATGGGGCCAGCTCCTCATCCATCAAACACACGCTGCTTTAACAACCCCTCACCTCTCTCTCTGAAACAAGATTTAAGGTCAATTATTTTGGATTTTCCTTACTGGATATACAATGAGTTTGCATCCACAAGTCTATGATGCATTTACTAACTTCTTACTTATGGAGAAAGGAAATATTAAGAGGCTCCCTGCACTACAGTGAGTTTATCCACACAGAGGACAAGCCAACTTAAAATGCCCCATTCATCAGGAACAGAATTACGGGAAAAACAGATCAATGCACACAGCTTGGGGCCTGAGGTCTGTAAAGAGAAGTACACTGTATGCTTATAAAAAAACAAGAAATCAGCCTACTGGAAAGAATGAATACAACTCAAAGAGACGTGTTTATGCAGTCTTAAGAGATCTCACTGACAGTGTCTGAACTGCAGCTTTTCCTGGATGGAGACAGATATATGCAAAAGGTATCTCATATTAAACTACCTTCCACTGAAAAGTCAAGTGGCAAGATGTAAAAAACAAAGCCCACAGAACACACTTTTGAATTACTTACAGACTTTCAGACTGATTTCACTTGAGATAATTGTCTTGTGAACTAGTATCTTACAAAAAAAATGTCAAGAGTGAAGTTTGAGGATGTTGTATGAGGAAAAAAAAAGTCCTTATTTAAGCAGGAGATGAACTGAGACTTCTGCTCCAGCAATATTTCCTCAGCTTTTTCCAGCCTAGCTTTGAGCATCAAGTAACAAGCTGTACAAAGGTTTCCTTGTGAGAGCATGTCACATTTTGAAAGCTCTCCCCCTCAGGGTATTTCTCCCCTTTCCAGCCTATATTTACTTTTCCTTACATTGTTTACTCAAAACAATCTCTCTGTTTTTAATGTTTACACACTACAAATGCCTTTGCCATTTTATCATCCACTTCCTCTGCCAAGCTTCCTTATTTTTAATTTACTTCTACTCATAAACAAAATCAGGATTCCCAAAGGAAAGTTTGTATGTGTAAGCTTTTTTCCCTCACTGTTTTTAACAACATACACAAAATGCTGGCCATTATTTTAATTTTAAAATGTAAGATAATTAGGCATGCAAAAAAACCTGACCAATTTTGTTCTTGTGACAACATGATGCCATCTAGTGGGCAACTGCCTTCTCCAAGCTCCTCAGAGAAGCCTGTCTGCAGAATTTCTTCCTTCACATCAGAAATGAGCAACTGAACAGGCTGTAACAGACCAACTTGCCAAAGCACTTCTCCAGCAGCACCAAAAGAATCCTTTGCCCCAGAGGTGTGACTTACGTTCTTTGTCCTTCTCAACAAGAGAAGTGGGTGGTGCAATGGCAGCTCCTCCCATACCTGTGAGTGAAATGGAAGACAACACGTTCATGTCATCAGGTTCTGCTGCTTGGAAGAGCTTTGCTGAGTCTCAGCACAGCTGCTGGCTCCTCACCAGCCAGTTCTAAACACACGACTATCAACAGAGAAGTAGTAAGAGAGAATTCTGGGAAGTTTCAACAGCAGTAAACTAGAAATGAATGAAAGGCACATCAAGGGAGACAACATCAGACTCCAGTGAGGTACCACGTATGGTGTCTATCAAAAACATGTTCCACAGGATTTCAAAAGTGAAGTCTGGAGTGAAACAAATCATCAGTTCTAAAACTGCTCAATCAAAACAAGTGGAAAGATACTCTGCTCAAGCTCAACTATACTTTCAAAACACTGAGTACAAAGCCCCTTCCACATTTTAAGGAACAATGTATTCCCAAACTCCCAAGGCAGGGCAAATATTTCAAATGTCCCATCAGAAATTTTCTTTTTTTTAAAATAACAGACTTGAATTATTTACTGTAAGTTTTTTGCTGAAAAGAGAAGAAAGTTTAATTTTACTTATCCAGAGACATCTCTCACGACCTGGATCCACATCATCTCACTACTTCTCCAGGCATTCAAACAACAAATGGAGGAATGCTAAGCTTGGAGAGTGAAAACTCAGCAGTGATTCTCACAGCCTGATTCCACCCTGTCTCACCCCTTTCATGGAACCTACACTAGGCAGAAATTTAGAGAGTAGAGCTGAGAACACAGAAATACAGAATCCATGAAGCAGGATTGTGAATTCCACACCCTCCCACCCTTTTCTCTCCTCTTTCTCCATCAAAACCAAAAAAATTCCCTTACTTCTTTTTCGTCTCTCCCTTTCATAATCTTCATCTTCATCAGAATCTGGATCAGGTCTTCTTGAGAACCCACTGGCTTCATGTCTGTCTTTACGTCTTCTAGGAGACACAGTATGTTAGGATAAGAAACCACCAAAGTGAAGTCTTTGCTTTAACTTGTGCTGTCACTTCTGCAGTGTGAATTATGCTGCTGCACTCTTGAGTGGCATTTTATAACCTCTTCCATGAGGGTGTAAGTAAACACCTTTGCTTTGTGTTTCTTTGCTTTTATTTTCATGGAGTGTTTTTTGGAAAATGTAAGATGGATCCAAAGCAAGATCATGTTCCACTTGCAAGCCATCCAAGAAGAATGTATGAAAATGAGGAAGCATCTGAATAAATCTAGACCAAGCTGAGAATGGTGACTACACTGAAGGAGGTGCTGGATGGAGCCACTAACAAGGTAACAGAAACTAATTAATCACCCTGCTTTGAACAAAATCCCTTTTAAATTCCCCATCACAAGCTATAAAGAATATTATAAATTACACAGTCAATTAAAAAAAACAAACAAAAAACCCATCATGCTTAAACATCAGCTTGAGACACCACCTTGGCAATTAAAATAAGATACAATCCAGTCTATGAAAGCTTTTAACACTAGGGGAGAAATGCTTCAAGAACTGTTTGCACTTTGACTGTTACTGTGATCCTTTGAATTACATGAGAAAAAGGTATTTTTCTGCAAAAGTTAATCAGAACTTTCTCAAAACAGCCCTCAAAACTGTGCTACAAGGTGCTAAAACCAGCTTTTAACATTAGGGGAGAAATGCTTCAAGAATTGTTTGCACTTTGTTACTGTGATCCTGACATTACCCCTTTGAACACCTGAGAAAAAGGTATTTTTTTGCAAAAGTTAATCAGAACTTTCTCAAAACAGCCCTCAAAACTGTGCTACAAGGTGCTAAAACCAGCACCACTACATCACCATCCCTGGAGGTGTTCAAAAAACGTACAGACATGACATTTCAGGACATGGTTGGGTGGTCATTGGAGTGTTGGGCTTGATGACCTTCGAGGCCTTTTCCACCCTTAATAAAGATTCTATGGAACGAGATAAATCTGAATCTCTACACTGTGAATTTCAAACTAATGTACCCACTCTTCAAACATCTGGGTTACCACAAAGCAAACATGTGATGCAGGTTTGGCTGAGACTGTTTCCTCAATTTTAAATCAGAATGTATGACCTATTTCTCAGTTCTTGTCTTGAATTTTATGATAAAAACTGCCCTCTTGGCCCACATCCCACAGCTGCAGAGAATCCCAGCATGGTGGGGCTGGAAGAGACCTCTGGAGATCACCTGGTCCAACCTAGTCACCTACAGCATGACTAAATAGCAATCAGCACTGAAGCTGTGGGAAGGACAGCCCAGATTTCAGAGGTCTTGCATGCTAGTTAAGTGTGACAGAGCCTCTGGCCTTCTGAGAAAAAAGAGACATCTGAATGACTAGAAATACTAATTTCCATAACCTGAACAGGGCAATATCCTTCTTGTTATGAATTATCTAAAGTCAATGGAATTACATGATGAAGCTGGCCTATTAATTTCACTTAAAATAAGCAAATATAACCTTATTGCCTGGCTGGCAGATGTTTTACCAAGTATTTCAATAGGACATGGAAACTGCATTCAATTTCTTTAATATGATTAGAGATTTCTTATTGCAGGGAAAGGGCATTAAAGTAATTAAAAATAAGTAGTATCTTTTGTCCTGAGATAAAGGAGTAATAAATAATCAACTCATTTAAACTGACTGCAGAATACTAAGAAAAGAAAATGTAACTATGCCTCTCAAAGGCTCTGTGAGCCACATCTTTACACCTGAAATGCATTCATGGATCAGTTTGGAGTACTGAAAAGCAGAAAGGAGGGAAGGTACTTCTGTAGTCAGGTTATCCTGACAACAAAGGCTCCCCAATACCTGCAAGATCAAAGTCTGATAATGAAGTGTGAAGTACCCAAATACTGCTGCTACTAGGGAAATAAAGTAAGCCTAGAAAAACTTGACACAGGTCTTTCAGCCAAAAAAACCAACCCTGTAAATAGGATATATCCTTTAGCAAGAGAATTAGAACATATTAATTAAAACAGAATTTCCTTGAAAGTGTTGAGAGGGATAAAACTAAACACAGATTTCTCTACCCTTTCTCTGTCAGGATGTCCTGAGTTTAAACAAAAGCCTTACTTTTCTCTCTCTTCAATCTCCTTCTGCCTCTCCAGCTCACGCTGCCTCTGCCGCTCCTCTCGCTGCCGTTTCACCACCTTCTCATAGTCATTTGGGAACATGGGGTCATACTCATCTGCCAGAGGGATCAGCACCTCTCCTGCAGAAAAGCCACTAGGGACAGGGTCCTGGCAAAAACAAAAAGCAGTTTTTTCAGCTGAGATCTGAAACCATGCAGCTGGACACCAAGAGTTTAACAGTTCAACCTACCAGTACTAGGAGAAATCTGGGTTTTAACTGAAACCCAACATTTCACCCAGTCTCTCACTGGGACCACTAGGGATGATGATGAAAACAAACCCAACCACAGACTGAAGCCCAAAAAAATCCAATCCTAAAACATCTGCTAGCAGTTGGGCTTTTTAGATGTCTTGCTCTTACCTTTAAGCCAGCTGCTACATGAGGTGGTGTGTCCACAATCTGTCTCTCATCAGAGGAGCTACCTCGTTTCAGGTCAATCACTGGAGCAAGGACTGTTGTTTGTTTTGTTCTCTGACTCTGCAAAATCACCAAGACCCAAAATGACTAAAAAAAGTTCACAAAACAGTTTTCTAAAAAGCAGACAGCTTTATATACTCAAGCATATTTGGTATCTCCCTTTTTTTATTAAGTATGAAAACCTCAGCCTCAAATTCTTCACTGTGCAAAGCTCAAGACATCATTTCTCTTCAGTTTATCCATGTACAGGAACTCTCAACACTTCTAATGAACCTTGATGTGGGCAACCAGGTCTCTCTCAGGATTCAGTGGTGGCAAAGGCTGCTCAGCTCTGAGACAGATGCTTGCCAGCTGCTGTTAAAGAGCTGCTACACAAAACCAGACCTGATGCACCATTTCAAAGAGCACTCCAGTGAAACCAGTGCATCCTTTTCTCTTTTTAAGTGAGATCTGACTTGGCTGGTGCATGCACTAGGACACAGTGGGAGGTGAATGGTCCCCAGTTTGGATTAGGACAAAGAACAGATCTCAAAGAACATCCATTTAGATCCAATGCATGCAGGTTGTTCTAATTATCAGCTAAAACCTGCCCCTGATTTTAGCAGCACAAATCAGGAGTAACTCCAGTGCAAAAATGCTGTGCCTACTTCAGTATCCAGAATCTGTGCTGCTGCTGCTTTTTCAATGAAGTTGAAAAATCAAACTATCAACACTGCTTAAAGAAGAAGGGTGAAATATTGTAGCAGTAAAGAGAAAATAGCTCTGTCACAGTTTAAGCTCAAGGAATTAGCTTGCACTCCTTTTCTCTTTCATGTACACCAGAAATACTTTAAAATTACCCCAAATGGGTATGCTAAGGACACAAACTATCCTCAGTGTTCCAAACACAAAAGAAGTTTGATTAATATGAAGCCAAATAATAGGTACCTTTGCTTGTGTGAGAGCTGCTTTCTTCACCTGCAACTGAGACTGCAGTAGTTTGAAATTTTTAGACCAGCCTTCTGTTTTAGAGTCACTGGTCTCCACCCCCAGGTCATCGTAAAGGGACATTTTCTCTTCAATTTAAAACTAAAAGACAAAAAGGGAAAAAATCCAGGTGACACAACAAACCTATTTCCAGGGCTTATTTGCCACTAGTCTTATAAGTTTGTACACCATATTTTGACCCATCCTTCTTCCAAAGCCTGAGAAAATTCAAATTAGCAACATTTTTCTGCCTAACAGAAGATACACACGACTACAGTAAGGCTCTATAAAAGTAACTTTGGAATAAATATCCTCCACGAGTTAACAAGTGTTGTAAACTTCCTAAAATTCTGTTTGTAGCATCAATCATTTCACCCTTTGAAGTTACACTGGTATTTGGAGGTTCACAAAGAAAATCAACACAAGCCTGGGGACTTCTGAACCAAACACAAAAAAGTATAAACACAAACACAACGTGCCAAGCATCTCAAATATCACTTCTTTTTTGTCATTACTGTAAAGGAATATCTTAGATTAAACTTAATTGACAGAATACTATTAAATAACTATTTTCAAAACATTTAAAGGCCTCTCAAATACATAAAACTTACATATAGACACAACACATATATATTTATAGATATAAATATCTGGGTAACAACATCAATAACATGACATGAAATGCATCACTTTGACATTGCACCTGACATGAGTGGAAAAAGAGAAAAGAGAATGTAAGGGGATGTCTGTCCTCTGTGGAGCAACCTGTAAATTCATTACTTAGTCTCTCACAGGCCTTGGTTACAGCATCTTCACCCAAAAACTTCATTTACTGCAGGCTCAAACATGACTAACAGCCTGCAGTGAAAGGTGAGACTCATCAGCAAGATCTCCACTCCATAGATTTAGCAGATCCTCATATTTGAGGGAGCCTGCCCAACACAGAAGATGCTCTAGATATAAACTTATTGCTATAGGTACAAACTCATTTGCCTTTAAACCTACAGAAAATGTCTCACATGCAGCAGACAGCACCTATAGCACAACTCCAAAGGGTGGCAAGCCCAGCCATGTTTTTTAAAAACATAAATTTTAAGACCAACAAGAATTTAATCCCAATCTAGAATATGAACAACCAGGGCTCAGCAGAACAGTTTGCTGCAAGAAGGAGGAGGAAATTTGAGATCATTAAATGTATGGGCACAGGGGAACGTTCTGCTGCCTGCAGGAACAGGATGAGG